TGCTGCTTGGCCTGCTGTGTTCATCCAGCCCTGCACCTTGTTGTCTCACCACCTCAATTAGCTTTAATTAGCTTTATCTTTAGCTTTAATTCCTATAACAACCTCAGCCAGAGTTTAGCTTTAGCGATGCCATACCCAAGAAATGCCTTTTCAAAAACCTCTTCAGTTTCACTTGAGTTTAAAGAGTCATCTGACAATCAAACTTGTTGCAGATGTGTCAGCCTTCATTGTGTGCTAAGTCAGAGAGACATAAGTAAATATACTCTAGTAGGTTATTCAACATTTTTTAAAAAAAACTGTCCTCAGTCTTGTTTATGGGTGCTGTCCATTCATTAACATCATGTAACAATATCAAATTGAGACAGTCATCTGGTGGATTTTAGTGATTTTGTTCTCAAGTTTCAGTAAAAATCCAATTAAGTAATAATTAAAGAATTTACTCACACTGCTGTTCTTTACTTTTAAGAAACCTGCTTTTCCCAGTTCATGGGATTTTAGTACCTGCTAAGAGTGCATCTATTAGCAACACACATCGCCTGTTGGAATATCTGGGTTTTACATGGATTTGTATTTGCTAAGTTTGTGTTTAGACATGGCAGGGGACGTAGACATGATTTGGACAGAATCAGTGAATGGGCAAATGCACAGAGGATGTAGTCTAATGCAGATAAGTATGAAGTTATCCACTGTGGTAGCAAAAATAGGAAGGCAGATTATTATTTGAATGGTTATAAATTGAGAGAGTGGAACGTTTAACAAGACCTGGGTATCGTTGTGCACCAGTCACTGAAAGTAAACACACAGGTGCAGCAGGCAGTAAAGAAGGCAAACTGTATGTTGGCCTTTATAAAGAGAGGAAAGGGATGTACAGGAACAAGGATGCTTTGCTGCAATTATACAGGGCATTGGTGAAGCCACACCTGGGATATTATGTGCAGTTTTGATCTCCTTATCTAAGGAAAGATGTGCTTTTAATCGAGGGAGTGCAGTGAAGGTTTATCAAATTGATTTCTAGGATGGCAGGACTGACGTATGAAGAGAGATTGAGTTGGTTAGGATTATATTCACTGGAGTTTAGAAGAATGACGGGAGATCTCATAGCAACCTATAAAATTCTAACAGGACTGGACAGGATATGGAGGTGCAGGTGTTGGACTGGGGTGGATAAAGTCTGAAGTCACACAACATCAGGTTATAGTCCAACGGGTTTATTTGAAATCACAACCTTTCGGAGAGTAGCCCCTGAC